CGGAAATTCCGCGATGAGGCCCTCCGCGCGGGGACCGCGGGCCTCAATTGGGCGATGTGCGCCCTCTGCCTGGCCAGTCTCGTCGTGTCCGGCGTGCTCTTCTACCGCGAGCTCGGCCTCGAGTCCAGGATCGCGAGTCTGGAAGCACGCTGCCTGCGCGTCCAGGATTCCTCGTCGCTGGTGGACGTCCTGGTGCAGAGGGTCAAGTCGGAGGTGCAGGAGCAACTGCGACAGACACAACGGTTCGAGTCCGGTGCGGTCTTCAGGCCCAAACGTGATGTCTCCGAATGCAACTGTCCTCCAGGTAAGTCTTTTGCCTCTGTCTCGAAAATCACTCGTCCACGTTGGCATTTTACTGACAGCGTAACTTCAACATTCCATTACAACGCACGCGACTGCGAAATATCGCTTGTCTCTTAACGTAAATTACAGATTTCTTGATGCGAATATTTAATTACATGCTTTTACCGGATTTTTATATTATAAATATGAGCATATTGCGTGGTATAGTAAAAATCATTATGAAGATATATTAATACGCGAGAAACGGATAAATTTAATATTTTTAAGTCCTCTCTGTAGATTATTTCTTAAATAATATTAAAAATATACGTATTTTTTAATTGCCACAGTATTGCAAATTATTATTCCAATTGTTTCTTAATGAGAATGATTAATGCTGTTCAGAGAATTTCGCATCATTCAAATCAAAAGTAATTAGAACACGTATCACAAAGTAATTAATTTTATAAGAAATGTGTGATTTCTAAATCAATAACGTTCTTTTAAAATGAATATTCAATATATGATTTAAATTTGAGAAATGTCCCTGTGAATTATTATAATATCTTCATTTGAATCCAGAAAACGCTTAATGACGCGTTTGAATCGATGTCAGTAAAGTGTTAATCGAAGGATCTTTTCGCGTTGCGCACAAATTATTTGCAGCGATTCCTGATTGCGAAAGACGGAGTTCGTCGTTTTCAACGAATTTGAAATTACGTCAGGACAAGTCTCTTTTTTCAACGCATTATAGATGAGTCTTAAAAGTCTCCGTGCAAAGAAAGTAGAATGAGGAATTTTTGCGATCGTTGTAGCTCGTTTTTCTTTTCTCTCTATCTGTGAAAACTCGCGTAAGTTCTCTGTTTATTAAAGAAAGCGGAGAAGAGCATAGATACAACTCGTAATTGTGACTCGTAAACGTTACGCTTTTTACAGTCGCGTAACTATCCGATATCTTCATTATGCTAACAAAAATGCGACCTTACTCCTTCGCGGTTTAACGAATTAAGATTTACGAGACTGCGAAGTACGCTTGTACTGCTACTTATCTCCTAAATTGCGACGTGGAACACGAAGAAGTTTTAACAAGTCGGGAAATAATATATTTCAGGTATTCCGAAATCAGATTGGGGGGAGCGCGGAAAAACTATTTTGTTACAAAATTGCGCCGCGAACATTGAAATTAGCCAACTGAAAAAAAATACTCTGACCTCTTGATACCGTGTATCGTGCATTTACATTTTTATTACAACGGTAGATTCGTAATTCCATTGTGCCCACTCGACGTCGCGTCTGATATCGTTTTGCGCAAAGCGCGTTGCGCTGCTTTTCCGTCGCGTCTTCTGTTTGAAACTCCATTCTAACCAAACGATTCTCTCCCGCAAACTCCCGCTTTACGCTCCGTGACTCGTCCGCCGCGGCTTCTCTCCCGACTCTTATTCATGATAGAACAAAGTAGCGAAAGGGCAAAACGCAAAAGCGCAACGTCAAAAGGAGAGCTGCGAGCGGAGTTACAGCTCGCGACTTACCGCGCGAAAATGTGATAAAAATATAAAAACATTCGCATGAAAAAAGTGAGAGCTCGCGGTGATTGATTCTCGGTTCTCTCGTATTTTAACGAGTTAAAGATTAAGCAAATACATCAAATATTCGACGTCATAGTCGGAATAAATTTTATCCTGCACTCTTTGAAAAGAATATAACGATGACGATAAAGAGCTCCTTCTCATCGTTTTTATCTCGTCCGTCGACATTCCATCCGCACGAGTCAAAGATCGCGACACGTGATCGCCGTCGATCGCCGTCAATCGGCTAATGAATACAACCTGAGAGGGAGAAAAAGAGAGAGAGAGAGAGAGAGACCATCCGCGTGTTGACTCGGTGAAATCGAGGTGGCTTTGTGAGCGGGGCTTCTTCCTGTCATTAAGACAGATGCGCGATTGCTTCATTGCAGCTTTCATCGAGTCGCACTCTCTGAGGTTCAATAGCTGTTACGATAATTGCGCTGTATACCTGTGTCACGATAATCCCGATATACGCGTCGTCGGTTAAATGTGAGGGAGCGTTAGGATGGGCGACATGAAAAATATTGATGACATATATCTACGTATTTATTTTATTTCATGTTTGGATCGTTTATTTTATTATATAAATGGCCGCGTTTCGAGGCGATCTGTGTGTTTACGCGTGTTACGGATGTCTGACGGCAACGAATTAATGCATGGATAAATGTTGATATAAAAGGATATTCGCGTATTTTTGTGATAAACGAGGCCGGAGTATACGCGTTTTTGTCAATACTACTTATATATTTCTCGCGAGAAATAACATTCGACCGCTAAACAGTACAGTTTGGAAATTTAGGACGGTACTTCTCGTTCGCGGGCACGACCGTTTTATAACGAAAGAGCTAGAAACGAGGGAGGAAGGGGTCCCTGTGTTTTAGGACTGAAACTTGCAAACGCCGCGAAACCATCGAACTCGCGAGAGGGCAAATTTACGACCAATAAATGCAACTTCGAATCCCTTTGTGGCTTATACGGCACGTCTATATGAAGCAAATGATGTAGCTACGAGCATCATTAAGAGTCATTTTACGATTTACGGCGAGGTACGCGATTCCCACGCGAGCTCTCCTCGCGAAACTCGCGATTTTTCAAGCGCGTGAATTGCGAGGGAGTGTATCGACCACCTTCTCTCCTCCCCGGTCCTTTCATATAGCGCACGAAAAAGCATCCGCGGAGTAGGTAGCTCGCTAATTGCAATAATTACTCCATTGTCGGACGCCGCTCTCGGAGTCCGAGGTAGGAACTATTTTCCGGCGAAGTACGGCCGGGAAGCGGAAGCGCGTATACGGAGGAGGAGTGAGAGGGGAGGGGCACGAGGGGACTGCCGGGCGGATTAATTCCACGCTTCGTTCCTGCTCGCAGTCCGCCTATCTCGTCTGACTCCTTTCTCCTTTATTTTCTTTCTTCCTTTTTTTCGTTCTGTCGGTAGCCGTACCTTTCCCTTATCGCGCGTCCACGGCGCAACGAGCAACAAAGGGATGGAAAGAGTAAGAGAGAGAGAGAGAGAGAGAGAGAGAGGAGAGAGAGAGAGAGAGAGAGAGAGAGAGAGAGAGAGAGAGAGAGAGAGAGAGAGAGAGACGACGACGTACGTACGTAC